AAACACAATATAACAGCACATAGCATAACTAAGAGACATATCTCATTTGATGGCTTTGAAATGCATTTGGAGGATAATAGACATTAATCAACTCACTATGTTTTTAAAAGGCTGAGCTTGGGCATAATTATCAGTCAAGGATGTGCGGACATAATTTTTGGGTTGAAAATGGGTTTTTTGTGGTTAAAACACTACAAAAGTGTGTGAGACCATGGCGAAGATCTCTTAATTAGAGATGGGGATATTTCCATTCATATACGAAAATCCCCACGCAGCTGGACCTAACGATGGTCCAGCCCCTGGGACTGGACCGTCCACTCACACATCCTGCTGCGGCACCACTCCCACTTGTCCTTCCAATACTGCCTGGAGATCCGCTCTCTTCCTGCTGGGCTGGCCAATCCAGGCAGAGGGTGGGAGGACAAGTCTCCCGACAAGGTTGCTGAGTGGCCAGCTGAACGGAAAATGAGAGAGGCGATCCAAGTGCCATTGGAAGGATGAGCAGAACTGGTGCCACAGCAGGACATGTGAGTGGACAGTCTGGTCCTGAGGGTCAGACCCTCGTTAGGTCCAGCTGCACAGGGATATTCATTGATACAGACGTAGTAAAATAAAATTCTGGAACAGCTGAGATGCTTAAAGCAAGCAAGAACACAAACAGGTAAACCATTAGAAGAAACACAGATATATATCTAGTGCTCTTCCAGTTACTGAGAAAATGGCAAAAACCTGAAGATCTTAAAGCAGACTTTAGGAGCAAATGGAATTAACTCAGTCACCTGCTGCTTCATGTAACAAAAGCGTCTCTCTCATGTCCTGTGGCATATAATCCTGTGTTGTTCTGGGAATCTTTCCTGAGACAAAGTTGTAAGGAGTTCATATTTCGTAAGGGAGTATTATGATCGCCTGCATACAGGCATCTGTCATTTCCTCATTATGGATTTTTCAAAAAGCTCTTGAAAAGATCTAAGCAGGGTCTTCTCTTCCTCCTTTTGTTTGCTCCAACCCTAATTATCTTTGCATCATAATTGTCTTCAATGACAGAATAAAACCAGCTTGTTAGCAGAAAGCACCATGTGGATTCATAACAAGGTCAAGATGGAGTTAACAAACATATAGAATAAAATCAAAAACCGAAAAAAATGTATATGCCTAAGTTAAGACTCCTTCCTTCCTCATGTTGTGCCAATGGAAATTTAGATTAAATGATTCTAAACACAGAGCAGGTATTATTCAAAATATCTCCGATAAAAGCTGCAATTTTAAAGCTTTTTTTTCCTTCAAGTTTTCCAGTTAAGATTTCCCACCAATGGAACAGCTTCTGTCACCGGAAGACTGAAGAGGCCATTCTTTCTCACTCCTGCAACCTCCCTTGCATCCTCAAAGTCTACTCCAGAGAGTTCAGGGGGCTTCTAAAGAGACAGTAAGCTGCACAGGGGCAATAGAGGACGAACAAGTTTGATGGTAACAAGCAAGCCTTGTTGGTAGAGTGGAGGTCCACTTCCCCAGGGTTGGATTTCAATTGGTGGATTTGTCAGCAAATGTAAGATTAAATTCAACATTAGTCTTGCTTAGAATAGAACTACAAAAATGAATGGACCTTGCTAAAGTGTCTATTATTAGATAGGACTTCGCCCGAGTTTCAATTCATAGCCAGTTTCTTCAACAACTCAGCTCTGATTATAAGGCTACTTAATTTAAAACATGGACAAAGTATTATTTTACAAATAAATTACACAATGAGTTCTTCATTTTCCCATCACAAAAGCACAGTGGTCTAAACCAGAATCAGTCATTAACAGAACAAGAGGTAAAGCATGTGTACTCAGACTAATTACCCAATTATTCCGCTAAAGCCATAAAAGCAAAAGCCAATGACATGACGTACTTTTTCTACTGAAATATGCAAGCTGTTCTACATGTAAAAGTCCTGCAGAATTTGAAAGGAAATTACACTTTAGGTTTCTGTTTGTTGTCTGTTTCAAAGGCACAGGCACCATGTTGACAAGACAGTCAGCAACTTACGTCATCCTAGAAGAAATGTACTTTAAGAATTATTTTGCCATTTCTCCTTGTTCTCACATTGTAGCTCAGAAGCACATGGCTTTTAATACTTTAGGTCAAACCATTCTAAATGCAATAAGGTAGAGGGTTGTAAACCCCACCGTACAGACAATGTTGGGTTCTTTCAATCCACCATGTACCAAACTCTTAACAAGAGGCTAAAGCTACACATATAGTAATCGATGTACTTCATAACTGAGCTGTGTTACTACCTCACTAGCCATTTCTCTCATCCATTCAGAAGACCTAGTTCATCTGCCGGGTTTAACTGAAAGACCCAATACAAGAAAGTGGCTTGCTTTTACTTAATTCATACTGCTTCAGGGACTTAGATAGTATTAAACACAGATGTTTACTTAAGAGTAGTGCACAAAAGTTTCATGTCTGTGTTCTCAGTATTGCTTAACCTTTTGGTGCCTTTCACCCTTTGTCTGTCAAATCCACCGTGACATTTTTCACCCAATAACATTGCAAGGTCTGTCAGCAGCCAGCCAATCAGAGCATCTACAAGAGAGAGAGAGTGGGAATTTTAAATCTATAAAATGTCAGGAGCTAAATGAGGAGCACTCTTGCTCCAGTTGTTCCTTGTGATTTGGAGAGGGGCAATTCTACCCCAACCCTTTTTGTCAGATTCATTACTGAATTATTTTTGTTTGTGCCTGCCAGGACCTGCCTTAGCTACCTGCTATATTAAAAGAAAAGGAGGAAGAGAAATCACTTAATATTGTAGTAGTTTTGATTGGGAGCTTGAGTTATATTTTTTCCCCTTGCTTGCTTTTTCCCCCCTTTTTCCTCCCTTTTTTTGATGGGGAGGGCACTTTGTTTTTTCTTTTGCTATTTTTTCCCTGTATGTAGGTGGTGGCTTTCCTTGTTTGATTGGGTTTTGTAACATTGTCACTTGAGTTAATTTACTGTTTATTTATTCTGTTAAAAGTGTATATTTTGGTGGACCTTCTAGAACTGTTTTGTTTGCTTCTGTTGGAAGTACTGTTGCTTTAACGAGTGGGTGCCTTTGTGTGGCAAGCAACCAGTGCTTGGCCGGCTGGCTGCTGTCTTGTGTTATCATTATTGGACTACCCCGGGTCCCAAGGGTCTGTTATGCTGGGTAGGTTTCATTGAACTCTAGGTAAAGGTAAAGGTTCCCGTTGACAATTTGTCCAGTCATGTCCAACTCTAGGGGTGGTGCTCATCTCCGTTTCCAACCCATAGAGCCAGCGTTTGTCCGAAGACAATCTTCCGTGGTCACGTGGCCAGATACAGAACGCCGTTACCTTCCCACCATGGTGGTACCTATTTATCTACTCACATTTTGCATTTTTGTATGCTTTAGAACCGCTAGGTTGGTAGGAGCTGGGATAGGCGACAGGGGGAGGCTCATTCCATCACATAGATTCGATCTTATGATTGCAGGTCTTCTGACCTTGCAGCACAGAGGCTTCTGCAGTTTAACCCGCAGCGCTACCATGTCCCTTGAACTCTATTGTTTTAAATTTGGCAACATAAACTACTGGCTGGATAGGTCTGGTGATGGTTTTTCTTTCACATCTACTGTTGCCTGTTTTGGGGGTAGATTGATCCCCTGTTGCTTTCCTTTCCTTTTTGGGGGAAGGTTTTAAGGAATCTTTTGGGACTTTTTTGGAGTAATTATTAAGGGTGAACGGGGAACCAAAATATGAATGAGCTGAAAGAGGTTCTCTTTTTTTGTGTAAAACAAGAGGGGAAAATACAAAATGAAAGAAGACGAATGAGGCATCCCCTAAAAGAACCTGGAACAAAATAAATAAGGACATTTTCCCTAAGCACATCTCTAATAGGTACTACATAAATTGAGTAAACTGTAGAGATTAATGTTTCATTCACACATTTTTAGAGCCAACACCCCTTTGTGTACAATAAAAAAAGACAAAAACATTGTGGCAGCTTTGGGACTAATGGTTTTATTACAATGTAAGCTCCACTTCCTCAGGCACATAGTTGACTCCTGTTGGTATATCACACAGCCACCATCCATGCATACTGATGTTACACAAGTAATAGACAGAGAGAGATAGAGATAGCAACTAACGTACTGCCTCTGTGAGTAGCTGGTCTCTATCTGACTTTGGCTACAGAAAACCCCACCAACATACTGCCTCTGTGAGTAGCTGGTCTGTATCTGACTTTGGCTACAGAAAACCCCACCAGAGATAGCAACAGTGGAGAAGCTAGTTAAGGGTCAAAGATAGCATGTAACTAAACATGAACCTTCCTTGACTGCTTAAAGCTCTCTCTTGTTCCTGGCATAAGCTTTTCTCACCTTCCATACCCTGCAAATTAGTTTACTATGTTTTACCTTCAGAAGGTAAACACAGGCTTTATTTGGCAATTGGGAATCATGTCACAAGACAAGCAACATGCTATCTTCTAAATGTAATTTCTTGTGTCTCATGTAGATTTATCCTATTTGATGGCTATCTTTTAAATATCTGAAGGTCTGCCATACACATGATGGAACAAATTTGTTTTCTGGTGGTCCGGATAGTTGGATCCAAGCCAATAGGTTCCAATTAGAGGACTTAAACTATATTTTAGGAAGCATTTTGATAGCATTTGCTGCTTAAGAGTAGAAGGCATTTCAGAAGGTGGTGTACTGTTCTTCACTATAGGCTTTTTAATAGAAGCTGGAGGACTACCGACTACAGAGCTAGACAAATAACTGTTGAGATCCTTTCTTTTTAGAATGTAACTTCAAGCAGAAGGGCTTCTTCCCCCTGTGACCGCCAACATTTGAAGAGAAATGTAGGATACATTTGAGATATGGGTTGCCATCTCCAATAAACAGAAGCTGGGGAAATGGGGTGGTGCATAACTGTTGTCTCAAAAGATGAAAGTTTTTAAAGCTGTGACAACTTCAGAAATGATGGGGCATATAAGATAATTAAAGTTGGAAACAATACCTTGCATCTGAGCGAGACAAATTCAGCTGACTAACATGTAGGCATCTTTCACTACTCAATGGGTGGTCTCGGGTAAGCGAGTTTCCTGAGTGGATGAGCAGGTTCTGTCTACAAACAGGCCCCAAGCTATTTGCCATCTCCATGTCATTCTTCTCAGATATCAAATTACAATGACTGTAGCCACCATTCACTGTTAAAGAAAGGAAGGGTAAGAAAGAAAAAGCATAACAATCAATAAGAGTATTGCATATTTTCATTGTACCCCTTTGTATTGCTCCACCCATTATTTGGTAGCTAGATTCATGAAGGAAGGGGAGAATACAAAGTGTTTTAGATAACTCAAGATTCAAACCCCAAGGAGTTACCTGCTATGATTCATTGCCATATCTTCCCAAATTTTATCATCTTAAAAATTGTGACATTTGCAATAAATACGTCTTTTATTATGGAAATGGAATAGATAACTGCTTTTGTTTTCCTTTTCCCTTTATCTTACTACTTCAGTGAAGAACTTTCTGTGCGAAGGAATAAGGGGTAAGTAAATGTGTGCGTGAATGATTTTTTAAATTCTTTTTAACAATCAGTTCCATTTGTACAAAACATTATCCTTCTTAACTGAGAGTCAAGACACATCAAAAATTGTTTCCTTCTTACCAAGCAATATGAGAGAAGTTTTGAAAAAAAGAAAACAAACAAACAAAGCAACTTACACATTGCAGACAAAACTCAGGGCAGAAGCATGGGTATTCTCAAGAATGAATGAATGAATGATATTTATATTCCATCTTTCCTTCACTGAGGTCAAGGCGGCATACATGCCTCCCCCAGTTTACTCTCACAACAATCCTGTAAGGTATGTCTGGCTGAGCAGCACTGACCAGCTCAAGGATACCTAGTGAATTTCATGTCCAACTGTGGATTTGAATGGAGGCCTCTTAAGCCACATTCCAACATTTTAAGTGCTACTCTGCACTAGTCCTTTGTGCAACAATAAGAATATAAATATTTTTGTGTGGCATTGAAAAAATGGAGCACATTTGAACTGTACTTTAGACCTCTTGGCATTAACTATGTAATTAAAATCAGCAGAACCATTTATGAACTGTACTAAACCTTCAATTTCTACACTTGAGCAGTGGTCCATTTTACAGGTTTTCAGCCACAGTTTCTTTTCACAGAGTGTTGAAAGCAACTCATATGGAATAAATCCAGACATTATCCAAGTGGAGGTTATAGATGGCTTTACAAAGCTTCCCAGTTTTTGACTCATTATACCATGAATTTGCTAAAAAACCTTGAAAAATGCCAATAAAACACAGACTGCCATTTCTATGCCACACATAATACTGAGGTTGATATGTGAAGTATTAGACTACTCAACAAGCTGACACACAGGTTCTGAAGGAAGTTGTGGAGATGAGCCGAAGTAAAATGCTCTAATAACAATATCCATTTCCATTTCAAAGCATTATTAATCTCACTAAGAAAAGACTGTATTTTAGAACACCTATTATTTACAGAGTGTTTTTAACAATCAAGAGCCTGAGTGCTATGATGTTCACATAAGGTTTGCATAATTTGGAAAGCTAATTATGGTCAATTGCTGAGGTACAAGGGCATGTTTTGACATTGTCTTCAATCATTGGCATTGGTATCAATCAGTTGTAGTAAGTAATATAATTTTAAACAAACACCAATGGGATTCTAGCAGGATATGTTAAAAAAAGGATTCCAGTCTTAATTAAAAAGGCATTATTCCTCTCCAAATGCACACATGAAAAAGGTAAAGGTTCCCCTTGACATTCTTAGTCCAGTCATGTCCGACTCTAGGGAGCGATGCTCATCCCCATTTCAAGCCGTAGAGCCAGCACTTGTCTGAAGACAGTTTCCATTGTCACATGATCAGTGTGACTAGGGAATGCCATTTTACCTTCCCACCAAAGTGGTACCTATTTATCTACTCACATTTTTACATGCTTTCGAACTGCTAGGTTGGTGAGGAGCTGGGACAAAGCAACGGGAGCTCACTGCATCGCGTGGATTTGATCTTACGACTGCTGGTTTTCTGACCCTGCAGCACAGAGGCTTCTGCGGTTTAGCCCGCAGCACCATCGTCGTCTAGTCATTTAGTCGTGTCCGACTCTTTGTGACCCCATGGACCAGAGCACGCCAGGCCCTCCTATCTTCCACTGACTCCCAGAGTTGTGTCAAATTCATCTTGGTTGCTTCGATGACACTGTCCAACCATCTCATCCTCGGTCGTCCCCTTCTCCTCTTGCTGTCACACTTTCCCAACATCAAGGTCTTTTCCAGGGAGTCTTCTCTTCTTATGAGATAGCCAAAGTACTGGAGCCTCAGCTTCAGGATCTGTCCTTCCAGTGAGCACTCTGGTTTGATTTCCTTTAGAATTGAAAGGTTTGTTCCCCTTGTAGTCCAGGGGACTCTCAAGAGCCTCCTCCAGTACCACAGTTCAAAGGCATCAATTATTCGGCGGTCAGCTTTCTTTATGGTCCAGCTCTCACTTCCATACATCACAACAGGAAAAACCATAGCTTCGACTATTCGGACTTTTGTTGGCAAGGTGATGTCTCTGCTTTTTAAGATGCTGTCAAGGTTTGTCATCGCTTTCCTCCCAAGAAGCAGGCGTCTTTTAATTTCTGGCTGCTGTCTCCATCTGCAGTGATCATAGAGCCCAAGAAAGTAAAATCTGTCACTGCCTCCATATCTTCCCCTTCTATTTCCCAGGAGGTGATGGGACCAGTGGCCATGATCTTAGTTTTTTTGATGTTGAGCTTCAGACCGTTTTTTGCACTCTCCTCTTTCACCCTCATTAAGAGGTTCTTTAATTCCTCCTCACTTTCTGCCATCAGAGTAGTATCATCTGCATATCGGAGGTTGTTGATATTTCTTCCGGCAATCTTCTCTCAGGCCTTGCTCCTCTTCTTGTCCCCACTTGGGCATAGGAAGAAAAGGGAAAGGGGACCCAAGAGATCCCCCACAGGACAGCAGGGGTGGGGGATCACTTAGATGAGGCTTCACTCCTCTTCCTATCCCTGCTTGGGCATAGAAAGAGGTGGTAAAGGGAGACCTAAGACAGCAGGGATGGGGGGATTGCTTGGCCCCCCCTTCCCTCGTCTTCCTATGCCTGGGCTGGGATAGGAAGAGGAGCAAAGCCTAACAGAAGCAATACCCTTCCCTGCTGCAGGTAGTGGGAATCACTTGGGTCCCCCTGCCCTTGCCTTTCTATGCCCCCTGGCACACAGAAAAATGGGGGAAGCCTGACTGAGATGATCCACACCCCTGCTACCTGTGCTGCCACGGAGGGGGAATCACCTCAGTCGGGCTTGCCGAAAGAGAAGCCCTCCCTGCTCCTCCTTGCAAAAGCTAAGCTGCTGGAACTGAAACCATGGTTCCAGCAATCTAGCTTCTGTTTCCTTTACTATCCATTCTAGGCAGCTGCGGACCTCCAAAGTACTGGACTGGGCTGGATAAAAAAGCAAGGCCTCCCAGATGTGGCCCGCGGGCTGTAGTTTGGACACCCCTGAGTTAGATCATATAGCCACATAAACTGTGGTTAAGAATTCCTTCTACCACCTCAACAAACTACTTTACTTGCTTAGTGATACGTTAAACTTGAACATAAATCAAGACAGACATCCACATTTTTACTTTCTAGACTTTCTCTCTGTGAGTCCCTCCCCCTTGCCCAAATCACTGAAACAAATAAATATATAGTTGAGCTCTGGGGTACACTTTTCCTTTTCTGTGCTTCGACAGTACAACTGTGAAATTAATTAGCAGCCATTTGAACATGTTTTGTGACAATGTGACACAGAAACAAGGAGGCAGGATGACAGCTAAACTGCAACAAATAAAGGACCCTGTGGGTAGCTGAGAGATATGATGTCTTTTTTGTTGTTGTTCTTCAATGTAAGAAAATATATTTTAAAACATTAAATCTAGAGTAGTATGTCAGCCAAATGCCGATATGCTAAAGTTCCCAACATACATTCACTCTGGGTAGACTCCCTAATATATTGTTAGGCTACTTTCATGCCAAGTTACTATTAAGCACATACTAACCATATGGGAATTCCAACACAGCGAAAACTAGACATGACAACAAAATGTTGTCTTTTGTCCAAAAACACAGACTTATTCAAAAAAGAAAAAAAGAAAAAACAAGGAAGGACCTATAGCGGATTATCTTAAGCTGGAAACAATCAAACATAGTGTAATCAAGCAAGAGAAAGAGTCCATTAAAAATGATGCAAAACAAAAACCAGGATATCATCTGCTTTCCTAGGCCTGTAAGGAGAGTTAATGAGTGTTTTAGTCAATATATCAAAGCTTACCAATACCAAATCTGGTCTAAAGGGCCTAGAGTGGTCTTTTAGACCAGATGGTCTTAAGCTGGAAACAATCAAACATAGTGTAATCAAGCAAGAGAAAGAGTCCATTAAAAATGATGCAAAACAAAAACCAGGATATCATCTGCTTTCCTAGGCCTGTAAGGAGAGTTAATGAGTGTTTTAGTCAATATATCAAAGCTTACCAATACCAAATCTGGTCTAAAGGGCCTAGAGTGGTCTTTTAGACCAGATGGGTGGGGTATTAAATAAATAAATAAATAAATAAATAAATAAATAAATAAATAAATAAATAAATAAATAAATAAATAAATAACGGGCGGGATGTGTGAATCACAGAGGTCCACTTGAAGAACTACAATTACAGATGGGTAACCTATTGTTCTTCTTCGCGGCCTCTGTAAATCCTGGGTGACTAATAAGCTGTCTTACCCGGAGGCAGGGTGTCACGCCAAGGTAGAGGCTAGAACAGCACGTCCAAATGCCACATCAGACTTCTGGAGGTCGAGTCTATAATGATGGATAAACATGGATGCTTGTGCCCAAGTGGCAGAGGTGCAGACGTCCGGAAGAGTTACGCTGCTGAGAAAGGCTGTAGAGGCTGCCATTGCCCTGGTGCAGTGAGGGCGAACCACTCTAGGGGCTGGTTGTCGAGCAAGTTGATAAGCCAAATGAATGGTAGAGGTGACCCATCTGGAGATAGATTGGGAAGTCACCTGATGGCCTTTGGTAGGTAGCTGATGGCTTATGAAGAGACGAGATGACTGAAGGCTGCAGAAGAGTAAAGCCATCTACCCATGGAGTCTATTCGTCGGC